GATTCTGAGCGAAGACGGTATGTCAGTCTAGGTTTAATACAAATTATATACATATGTATGGTATTAAAAAAAAATTGACCTATAATAAATTCCAAATTAATCATATCACATTATCACAATATCCATTAGGTACTTATAACACGTTATACATCAACATCAACAACAAACCCTGATACTATCATATATATATAATAGTACACTTTAGAAGTTTCAAGTAGGTACCCACGAATAATATTATATAATCACAACAAAATAACTAGGTTTTTTAATATGTAATTTCGTCCAAATTTGAACATAAAATGACTATAAAAGTAAACTGTGATTGTATATTTTTTAGATTTTTCGGTAAGAGAATTAACTACTTACGTGGAATCTTGTTTTAAATTTTCAATCCTTAGCTATAAAAACTGAACATTTTATAATTTATTAATTACGATGATTAATAATTTTCGAGATTTTGAAAAATTCTATCAAAATTCGATGTTAAAATGCTTATAAAAAAAAATTGTGCCTATGTATTTTTAATATTTTTCAACTGATATTGTAACAATATATCAGGAGCCTTGTATTAAATTTTTACACTTTTTGGCCCAACAGATAAAACTTAATTGATATTTATAGAAAAAAAAAACTAAAAAAATTGAAAACTGAAAATGTCCGTAAACGGCTCAAAAAGTGTCAAAATATTTTCAAAATTGTAGGGTGTATAGGAAATGCTAATATAAACATTCAGTGAAATTTTCATGTATCTACAGTAATTCGTTTTTTAATTACAACAAAAATGAAATTGCCACATGAGAAATCGAGTGAATATCCAATGTTGTAAAAATTTGAATTTCAAACGCTCATAAAAATTTAATTTGACTTTCCGGTAGAAATTTTTTTATTGATAAAGGTAGACAATCTTATGAGTAATCTTGTATTAGATTTTCAAATCTTAGATTTAAAAAGAAAAATTTTTACGAATTCTTAACTCAAAATAATTTGCTAATTTTCGTGATTTTTCCATATTTTGTCAATTTTTGAACTTTAAATGCTTATAAAAAAAAATTGTGACTAAGGATTTTTAATATTTTTCATCTACCTTTGAAACAACATATTAGGAGCCTTCTATTAAATTTTCAAGCTTTCGCAACCAACAAATAAAATTTTATTGAAATTTTTAGAAAAAAAACTAAAAAAAAATGGAAAATGAAAATGTCCCTAAACAGTTCAAAATAAATCAAAATATTTTGAAAATGTTATCGTGTATAGAAAATGCAAATATAAACCAGTGAAAATTGCATGTATATACGTTCATTTGTTTTAGAGTTACACCAATAACCAAAATCGATTTTTTGGAAAATCAATTTTGCGTAAAAATTCCCGTTTTTCCTTAATTTTTATGTTGTTTTTCCCGGCGCTTGTGAAAACTACTGGGAAATTTAAATTTTGACCTCCCCAATGCACCAACGATATTCACTTTCCAATCGAACAAGATACTGAAGTCGAAAATCGAAGCATTATTTCGACTACTTATCGTGTACACAGATACAAAAAAAATAAAAAATAAAAAATAAAAAAATAAAAAAACACACATCATTGTAAAATCAATACATTCATCGTTTCACTCAGAATCTAAAAAAAATTTTTTACTTATATAAATAATAGAAATGGAAAATTGTAAAAAACTTTTAGATATGATCCAAAGATATAAAAATATACTAAAAGAGTTATCAGAAATTGAATCATCTATGTATAATTTAGAAACTCATGTATCATCTTTATATCAATCTTATGATAATAAGTATAGTTACAATCGTTACAAAAACAATTTTAAGAAATTATTTGATTATTTTAAGAAAATTCATAATGAATTAGCGAATCATATAATGAATAATTGGTTTGAAATTTAATGTTCACTAGTTTGTTGTTAGACTTTTTTTTAATAGAAAAATTCTATTAAAAAATATTTTAATTATTATTACATTTCGATTTTAATTATTAATATCATAAGTATTATGAAAAATATTTTGGGGGTGAAAATGTATTTAATAAGTTTTGCGAAAAATGTTTTTATTATTATTGCATTTCGATTTTTATTTTTAATAATTAAGTTTTTGCGGAAAATATTTTTATTATTATTGCATTTCATAATTTTTGTGAAAAATTTTATTAATTATTATTGCATTTCGATTTCTATGAAAAAATATTTTAGGAAATATTGCGTTTCAATTTTTATGAAAAAATATTTTAATAACTATTGCGTTTCACGATTTGCAAAATATTTTAATAATTATTGCGTTTCACGATTTGCAAAATAATTAAAGGAATTTTGCATTTAAAATGAAAGTGTACCATAGTGACCCCTATACTACTACTATGGACTCTAAATGGACAGCAGAACGAGATGCCGAAGCTGTAAAAATTTTAACTGATGACGCTTCTGTAAATAAAGATAGGCGGTATTATCACGTTCGTGAGAAATTTGATTTAATCGAGGTAGCTATGGCGTTCGACGAGTGCGACGGAAACGCGATCAACGTATTATGGCAGTAGTCGACAGTTTCCATAGTATTATCCATGACATGCATGTGGCCAGTGGACATAAAGGTGAGACGAAAACACACAAGAAAATAATGGAGCATTACTCTAATATTACTATGGCTGATGTAAAAACTTATATCGCTAATTGTGAAAGGTGTGCGGAAAAATCAAAAAAAAAGTACGCGAGGCGTTGTTGTGCGGCCTATTTTATCTTCTTCTTTAAATGAACGTGGTCAAGTGGACCTTGTCGACTTTCAAAGTTTACCTGACCGTGATTTTAAATTTATTCTTCATTACAAAGAACACTTGACAAAGTTTTCATTTTTCCAGCCTCTGAAGTGCAAAAAGGCTTTGGAAGTGGCAAAAGAACTGTTACACATATTTTTGACGTTTGGTGCACCTCACGTTCTACAGTCCGATAATGGTCGCGAAAATACAATTATTTATAATATTTTAAGAATTGGCTTGCCTATTTCATGAAATCGGCAGAAAAATTGCCGATTTCACGTTTTCTGCAACAACGATGCTGATTCCATGTAATCGGCAATTTTTCTGCTGATTTCATGAAATCAGCAATTTCACAAATTCGGCGTAACATATACATATCATAACACGTATATTTTACTAAATGTCAACATTATCATATAAAAAAAATTTTTACGACACACTATGTGCACATTAAAATAATAAAGAATAATGTTTTTATATATTATTATATGGGGCTTATTCATATGGTAGCTATAGTTATTATTTATTAGTTTGGTGATGAAAATTGTACATCAAGGAAGCTTTGATTTTCCGGGAAAACGTGTAGAAAAAAATCCATAAAAATGTTTTTATATCAATGGTATGGAATATAATCTAGTGTTTAGTCTTCATGAGTAATAAGTATAAACATACTTTATGTTGTTATACTATCAACCGAACATCTTTTTATGAATCTAATAGATTACCTACCATTTAGAATCACCTAACCATCAATTGTAATTTTTTAATTATTATTATTTAATGAAATTCATGTAGGGGTTAGTCCAGTACCGGATCTAGGGGGGGGCGATCCGGGGCCAATGCTCCGGGCGCTTATCATAGAGGGGCGCAAATTTCAAATTTTAAACTCATCATTTTTATTACATTTATTTTTTTTTTTGAAGTACACAAGTTTTTCAAATAAATAGTTTTAATTCAATGTAGTCATACTGGTTATGATTAAGAAAAGACATTCGACATATTATATCATATTATCGATTTTATGATTTTGCTGAAAATAGCCAAAAACACAATCGGGGCAATCTGCAATTGAGATAAACTAATGTTGTATAATTGTATCGGTCAGTCATAGACGAACTAATTGCACAGCGATAAGCCGATAACCAAGCATTGTGTACTCATGTGTGCGTATTTTCTGCTATTTAACAGTGGTATTTATATTTATTATAACAGTGTTTAGCGTTCACTTCACTGTTCACTGGACGGTATCTAATGAATGTTACAGTTTAAGTATAAGTGTTACAGTATATTTTTTTATGATGGAACCAAAAAAAAAAATTATCTGGTTTTAAGTTCCGGCAAAAAGCTCTCGAAAAAAAAAAAGAAAATGAGCGAACTTCGGCGTATTTTCATAATTGGCTGGGTAATACGAGTACTAACACACAATGTAGCACAGGTTAGAAATTATTCATAATTATTATTCTCTATTATAATTAATACTAGATCTATATTGTATTATAATAATTAATGGCGTAATTTAGTATTATTATTATTTATTACTATCGATATTATAATATACGTATTATTTTAGAATTTAATACCTAACCGGGAATTTGAAACAGGTATAATTTCTAAAATAATAGTTTTCGGAAAACTTTGTGAATTAATTTGTATAATATATAACTATATTTTATTGAAATAATACAGTACAATAAATATCTAATATTTTATAGAAAACGAAGAAAATGGGACAGATGTAGAAAAGGATGAGAATACTGTGAAATGTAGTTCTGGGATAATTGTCGAGGAAATTAATTCTGATCATAACAAAGCTAAGAGTCTAAATGTGTCCGAATTGATGTCATTAAAATTAAGTGAAAATGAAACTTTGGATTTTAAAGATTGTGGTACATGGCCTGAAAAAATAATAGATTCTCAAAGAACTCATATTGTTAGAATGAGAATGAACTATATTGAAAAATTGGATCTTACTAGATCTGAAAGAGAAGGGCGATCTGTTAATGTTTCTTGGTTTTTCAAAAATCTTGTTAATGGAAATCAATGTCGTCGAACTTGGCTTAGCTACTCCAAATCAAAAAATGCATTATTTTGTGTACCATGCAAATTGTTTTTAAATTCAAATGAAAAAAATATGTCAAAATTAGCATTAGATGGGTTTATTAATTGGAAAACATTTTCAGAAAGAATACCAGAACATGAAAATTCTAATATTCATAAAAACTAAAAAGTATTTTTGTTCGTGGAAAATGCTGGAAATGTCAATTTGTGAAGGTAAAGGAATTGATATTGATTTACAAAATGAAATAAAGTTAGAAGAAAATCATTGGAGATTAGTATTAAAAGCAATAATTGACATAATTATGCATCTAGCAATGGAGAACAGTGCTTTTCGTGGAACTGACGAACTTGTTTCTAATATAGGTAAATCTAATCAAAGTGGGAAATTTTTAAATCTAGTAAATTTAGTATCTCATTATAACGAGCCTCTAAGAATTCATCTTGAACGTCATAAAAAAGGAAGTGTTACATATTTTTCACATGAAATTCAAAATGAATTTTTAGAAATTATTGCAAATAAAGTTAGGAATACAATTTTATCACAAATTAAAAGCGCTACATATTATTCATTATTATTCGACTGCACGCCAGATATCTCACACGAAGAGCAAATGTCTCAAGTTATTCGTTATGTGGTTGTAAATGAAAATGGATGTGAAATCGTGGAAAGTTTTCTAGGTTTTTTACAAGTTTTTAAAAATACTGGTGAGGCAATAACAGAAGATATTTTGAGAAGCTTATCTAATCATAGTATTGATTTATCCTACTGTCGCGGTCAATCATATGACAATGGAGCTAATATGGCCGGGAAATGGAAAGGTGTTCAAGCTAGGATCAGTTCTATAAACTCTTTGGCGAGGTTTATTCCTTGTACGGCCCACAGTCTAAACTTAGTAGGTCTTTATGCCGCTAAATGTTCACCAGAATTAGAAAATTTCTTTGGTATAGTTCAAAAATTGTTCAATTTTTTCTCTAGTTCTACTCAGAGATGGGATATTCTTAAAGAACATCTTAAATTTTCATTGAAAGGTTATAGTACGACCAGATGGTCTGCAAAACAACGCGCTGTTAAATCATTATATTTGCAGTTAGGCCAAGTTATTCATGTTTGTAAGTTACTCAAAAATAGTAATTTATGTGAAGAAGCAAGTGTTGAATTAAATGGTTTGTTGAAAGGGATAGCAAATTTTAAATTTATATGTATGTTAATAATATGGAATAAAATATTAACGGCAATTGATAGAGTTAATGTAATTTTACAAAAACAGAACATTACAATAGATATAGCCACTCAACACTTAAAAGGTCTGATATATTTTATTGAGAAATTTAGGGAAGAAGGTATTGAAGAAGCACTTGATGAATCAAAACAAAAATCAACTGAGCTATCAATAGAACCGGTATTTCCATCGATTCGAGTTAGAAAAAAGAAAAAAATGCCTGGTGAATTAGCGGAGGACGAATCATCAACATTATCCGAAGAAAATAAATTTAGAATTTTAATGAAAAACGTCTGTGATAGAATCTTGAACGGCTTAAAAGAAAGATTTGACTCAATTGATGAAGCTGCAAAAGATTTTTCTTTTTTAGATGGAAAGTTTGTATTTAGTATGCCAACAATTCAATTAAAAAAACATGCTATGGACTTTTGTATCAAATATGAAAAAGATATTGACAAAAATGAATTAATTTTAGAGTTGGATAGTTTTACTCAACATGCAATTCAATTGGATAATAAATTAATAGATGCTCGTTCACATGAAATTTTAAATTTTATTCTTAAAAATAGTCTTCAAGAAGCTTATCCTAACATATTCACAGCTTATCAAATATTTTTGACATTACCCGTTACATCGGCATCTTGTGAACGTAGTTTTAGTAAACTGAAACTAATTAAATCATATCTAAGATCAACTACAAAGCAAACAAGATTAAATGACCTGTCAATTATATCCATTGAGCACCAAGTTGCTAAATCCATAGATTATGAAGATATCATTAAAGAATTCGCGTCAAAAAAATCAAGAAAAATAATTATTAAATAGGTATTTATTAAATATAGGTTTAAATTCTAAATTATTTAATTTTTTATTGAAAATAAACATTTCCATAATGTATAAATATTAAATAAATGTAAAATATCTTGATTAATTGTATGAATATTTAAAATATAAATCGCCTATAATAATAATCCGTATTTTGACACACTTTAGGACTCATGCATTTTTTTATTGGTGACTTTTAGGGGCGCTAATATTATGTTGTGCCCCGGGTTGTATAATTTGTAGATCCGGTACTGGGGGTTACATCAAATATGAATTTGTGTACATAACTACCAAGAGATAAACCAAATAGATTAGATAGCAGTTGTGACCTGGTAATTATTTTAAAAGGACCTGTAAATAATTAGTGCAGATGAAGGCAAAATTACAATTGGACATAAAAATGTTTTAATAGTAGCTAGTCCATATTTCCGTGCAATGTTCAGTGCATAGTTGAACATGATTTATTTGATGTTGATATTGAATATTTTATTGCTGCCCTTCCAAAGTGGAAACAGTAGAAGACTATGTAAGGTATTTATTTACTTTGACATAGAAATTATGTAAACATAACCTGGACGTAGGTAATACATAGGTCAAGTGTCAACAAGAATCAAACTTCAAATAATGACACAAATAACGTAAGTATTGCACGATAAATTATTAAACAATGTAGGTTTAGAAAATTTTCAAACTGTGTAGGTTTTAAGTGTATATAAAAAGGTTGAGTACCGCTGGACTATGTCGTACGTGTGTAAGACAACACATGAGGGTGCGACGTCCTCTTAACTAACAACGAATGTAGTAACTACCATAAAAATATAATAGAATATAATAGAATCGGTTATCTACCAACAGACCAAACTAAATACATACACTACTAATCATTACTGTTAAAAAATAAAACTCATGAGTTTTATACATTTATCTTGCAGTTAGCTGCACTTATAACCAGAGACATATTACACTAAATTGCATAATGTTATTTGTTGTAGATACTTACTTGGAGTTCAGGAGTTATCAACCACGGGTTTCACGTACCTGTAACTGAAGTATAAATAAGCAGTAACCGGTCATGAAAGGCAACTTATCTGGATACGCTGTGCATACAAAACAGTAACTTTTCTTTCCATGGACGTGGTCAGTGTCCATTGGAGCTGATTTCATGACGGGACTATACTGCAATCGACGGTACAGAAGGAATGAATTCTTGACTTCAAAAAAAAAAATCTATCGAAAACAGACGAGTTCTGGAACATTCAAGGGATAAAATTAAAAAGCGCACACAACATACATATTTTTACGATACCCAAAATCAACATTGCCGTCGATACCCGATTAGACAAATAAAATATTATATTATAACGAGTAGGTAGTTTTATTACTCGTAAATAATTTATATAAATATAATTATGTCGTCCGCACGGATAACGATCACTGTCGTTTCGGAGGCTGCGAGTAGATGTTCGGCTTGAACGTAGTACTAGCGTGATAGTAGTCACTCTTAGAAATGGCGGGCAAAATATAAACACATTTGGAGGGGGAATAGTAGATGATAATTTAATGTAAAAAATGTAATCTTGTCTGAAAATACATTTTAATTTGAGCATTTTATTTTTTTTTTTTGTAAAAACAATTCTCACTTGTTAATGCTAGGGCGACCTAACACTCTTATTACCCTATGTATGACTTGCTTGATTGGACAACGACGCAGACCCAATTTCTTTTGAAGCACTTTATTTTAACTATTGATTAATACCTATTTTCCCCTTCATAGGTTTTTATTCCCCACTTTTGATAAATTTCAATTTATCTCGATACCTATTAAATTTGAGTGATGGGTTTAGCACAGTTCATTTTTAACAACAAGGTAATTACTACACATTTTTATTATTCACTCTTGATACAAACTTAATTATAAATGTAGGTAGACATTATTTTATTTACAAGTCGTTAAATATGTCTTGTAAATTATTGTATTGATCGTGCATTGTTTGTTTCAAAATATTATTTTGTTTTTATTTTAACGGAAATATTAGAACTATTTTTATGTACCTACTTAATACTTATAGATACATACAAATTTTATATTAATATAAATTATTATTACCTATTCATAATTTAATAATATACAGTTACTTTTTAATATGGTTTCTACTGAACATTTTATATAGTTGGTTTGGTGTGGGGAAAAATATTAGAAAATTAACAAAATCAAAATTATAGGGAAAATAATAAAACAAAAATCGGGAATATTTACGCATTGCTATCTTTTATCAAAAAGAAAAAGTAAAACATAGTATTATAAGTAAGTACTAATATACTTATTACTTATATATAAAAACCCGCATTAATAAAAATTGTACGGCCGTAATTTTTAATCCTAATGCATTTCGATCACTATCTATCTTTAATAGTTTATATGATTTTATAGAACGGTACACCCGCATTAGAGTGAATTGACAGCTTATGAAATTAAAAGGTAAGATTATTATCGAGTGGACATCGTAGGTTTTTCATTAGATTTTAATTTTACTATTAAAATACTATTTGTTATGACATAGGTACTAGATTTTTTAGGTGGAATACACAGAGAGAGTAAATTGTGGCTCGCAATAACAAAAAGGTTAGAAAACACTTTTCTATACTAAAAAACACGAATTTAATATATTTTATACTAAAAATATGCACAGGTTTAATAAATCCAGAACAAAATTAAAACATGATTGAAGGTATTCAAAGACGTACTTATATTTAATTGGTCATTTATCCAAATAGAATTTTTTTTGTAAATGTAAATAATGTAAATTCATCATTCCATTTTTTTCTTGACATGGAATTGAGTGACTCCCATACATCTGGAATTGGAGTTGGGAAACGCCAGGTAACAGAGGTTAGTTTTGACTTCCCCGGATAATTTGTTGTCATTGGGGTAGACCAACTGTGAAAGAAAAAAAATACAACAGAAACACGGATTGGTATAACAAGATAGCCAGCAGGAAAATGAGCACAAGAAGTCACAATAATAGTTACCTCCACCGCCAGGCCAAACTCCAGTTCAAAGGTAACGACGCAAATGCACTGGACCCAATCAGACGGCATTTCATCAGCAGCCTTGTCGTGTTTAATATTCGTATATCGGAACGGGGGCTGCAGCAAACAAAAGTGTTCGTCAAAAACTGATAGCGAAAAGGTAGGTATCTACAAATACATTCACACGAATGACTGATTGGTGGTTAAAATAAACGACCAGCGATCCGCTACATACACGACAGGAGTTTCTTTTTTACTCTGGTGGACGCTACGGGTCGACAATAATTTTATAATATTTCGTTTTCATTACGTACCTACCTCACTCAAAGCGTCGGTAGTCGAGTACTCGAGTCCACCGTTCTAGGCGACACGCTAGCTCTCGACGGCTTCAAGAGTTCTCTCGTTTGTGTCCGTCGTAGGGCGTGAGTCCGTTATTCAGTGTTTGAAACAAGAGAACGAGACTTCTTCGGATATCGTGATTCGCGAGCGACAAACTAATGCATCAATATGATAGTCGATTTCAGCGAAAGTTCGCGAAATAAACAGAACGCGTTGATTAGACGTCTGTTATCACTTATCACTACCGTTTATTGATATTATAATTTTATAATTTTGATAAAAACACCGCGGTTAAAATAACATTTTATTGACATTTATAGGTTGAATACACAATGTATCAGCTCAGATGGTCTAGTCAAATTAGATTTTCAGCTCGGAAGAATTCCCACCTAGCTGCATTTTGGTACACACCTTTATGACATTGTTATAAGTGGTAATAAAATACCTTACAAAATAACATAAATGTAGGTAAATACCTAACATTCGAAAATATATGCTGGAAAATACTTTACTGGAATTAAATACACTAAATGTATAATATAACAATAATATGTAGGTACTCAATTAGGTGTCTACCTAATTAAACAGGTAGCTAGGCACTTGATAAGATCACTTATTACCTACCTTAATCAGCCGCTTGTCGAGTGTGATACGCTGTTCAAATAATATTTTATACCTACTTGCCTGCCAAGACGTAACAGCTAGTAGCTACACAGTAGTACAGTATAGGTACTAATGTACTATAGGTCGAATGGGCCAACTTGGGGCCAAAATATTATCTTATAGTTTCACCTCCATAACGGTCTCTTGTCATATCTTAATACTTATTACTTTTCAGTTTTCACTTTGGTAGGTAGGTAGTAGTGTCGCCGCATCGAATTTTAACTAGGTAATTAAATAGGCAGTGATGTGGGTAGGAATGCGTTCATAAGAACGCGTTCATATTGTGTGAACTTGACATGAACGAGTTCGATTTTCAAGAAATGAACTTGAACGTGAACTAAGTTCTTTTTAATTGTGATTTTGAACGTTTTGGGTTCGTTCATTGACAATTTAAATTTCATAGAACAGGCGATAGGATAACGTTTTGAAATGTTTTGTAGCCGATCAGGTTCCTTCTCGAGAATAAAAAGGTATTATAATTTGTTTTTAATTTTGCTTATTTTTAGTTTGGATATTTATTTTTGCCCTGAAATCACAACGCCTCGCCGCGCCGTTGATCGACGATAAGGATACCTAGTAGTTACCATACCGTTTATGGCATATTATTATAATTCGGTTGTAACTTGACATAATACAATAGAGCGTAATAATTAAGTAATATAATATAAATTATAATAAATAACATTCCCAAGACTAACACGTCCATACAAATTATTTTATGCTGTACTTAGCGTGTTCCACAGAATACAGGGTGATTGGAAAAATTTAAAACTATTTGTATCACGCAATCAAAATTAATTTTAACTATGATTTTGTTTCCGTTAATTAATCAAAATTATTTTAACCACTAATCTATAATTATTATTTTCAATTACTAATTAGTTACATAGGATAAAGTATGTTGCAGAGCCGCGTATCACCGGTTTCGACTCATCGCCGGCAGTCACGTATTTTTTTTTTTTATTTCT